GTATATATATATATATATACACACACATATATATATATATATATATATATATATATATATATATATATATAAATTGTAAACCAATAATACTGCAAGGGTGCCTTTAAGGTATGTAAAGCTTCATTAAAAAATAGTCATTTTCATATTTCACAAATTTTTCACCATGAATAATTAATTTTGCATCTTGCATCTTATACTTTATCATTTCAGGTTAATGAACTGAAAAACATGGCAAAAAAAAGAAGACATGGGAAGCCTACATTCATATTGTATCTCCAGTTAAAAACAAACACAAATCTGTACTTCAAATTACAATTACAAACCACTGTTGACAATTTTAAAGAAACTGTTTTTTCTGCTTCAGAGCACACTGAATTCCAGAACTAATTGAAAACCAAAGTCCAGTAAAAATGAGGGGTTTTGAGACCAATAAACTAAACAATTAACATAAAACAGTTTGAAGAGATACAATTCAAAATTTAGGAATTTATAACCCAAAACATTATTTGCATTCGAGTGTAAGAAAACTCGTAACCATAAAACCTAAGGTTATACAGCTCTCAGGAAACAAAAAGATCAACACAAGAAATGGACTAAAAATATTAAAGAAAGTATGCTGATTGATCCATGGTGTTCAGTACAGACTATTTGGGAAAATTTCATTCACAAAAAAATTAAATATCCAGACTGCAGGCAAAAATGTTTGAAATGTTCAATAAGATGTTAATTTGCAAGTGATAAAAAGTTTTTAAAAATATGTTTTCTGTAATAAACCGACTTATAATTAAAATAAAAGCCTTTATTCCTATCTTGTTACAAAATCGTGGAATCAGATTACTGTATATAGTTTTTAATTACCCTAAATGCTCAAAAAATCGCCTCGTCGTGGCTCTTAAGAGTATGTTATTACCTTTTGTGTAACTAAAGCATTTGGGTTTTAAATACAATGTATAAAGTGTTAAGATGAATAAATAACACAATGAATACACAAGTATTTCTTTTTTTTAAGTGTTAATTTACTATGACATTGGACTTATGATAGGCCTACTGTACTACGGGAATGTGAGATATGGGAACGGGCATGAAAAGCGCCACACCAGTGTTTCTTTTTATGAGCTCAGTAGCCGCATGTACCTTTTAGGTACCCCTTTTTTTTTTATTAGTGGACGCTTGGTTTGATTATTTTTAGGTTCGTGTGCAAAAAAAAATCCTCATTTTTCCGTCACCGCGAATACATCGCGCACCGCGATAAAAATTGAATTGTAATTGAAAAATACTTTCATAAAACAAGCTTAATTAGAACCCGAAAGCTACTTCAAATTCAATATTAAGTATGAACAATTAAAGAATTCATTGAATCAGTGGACCCTCATAAATACAACAAACTCAACATTTAATAGGAATATTCTAGACCTATTTTAAGGACTCAAAGAACAAATTTAGATGTAGGCCTACGGCCAGGCAGGAGTCCACCCGGGCCTTCTCCTACTACTACAATACTAGGCCGTAGCCTAGACTAGTTATAAAATCATCACACGATTTTACCTGTCTGCATGCACCGACCAAAAAGGACGTCAGTGACTGTATTCTCTCTCGAATGCTGAAATGTTTATTTCTTTGGCGAATAATACAATACAAACAATAGGACTAGTTATTCATCTTACTGACACGTGGTGCTGATGTTGTGTAGTTAGACGCGTACTGCAGGAGGAAAATCAGCATACGCACAGCTAAATGTAAATACGCACACGTATACTGATCATATCACTATAGCAACCGATGACTGCTACAACAGTTGGTTATAAAAAACTAAAATTAAAAGACGGCGATTGACTTATAAAGCAATTAATAGAGCATGCATCGTACACTAAATGGAAAATTATTATACTTAGATTAGATTTAATGCATTTAGAAATTTCCTTCGGGCCTTGCAGGAATTTTTTCCAAGCATTAAATCTAACCTTCGTATAATAATTTTACTATAGTGTACTATGTGGAGCTCTACTAATTGCTTATTATATTCTTAAATTATTGTGGTATAAGATGACTTCCACTTGCGTTATTAACCAAGTATGACAATTAAATGGTTGTCGAGGTGTACTGGGAGGACGAGGGCTACAACTGGATCGTTCGTGGATAGGGGAATGTTCCCAGTAAGAATTTCAGTTGAACTATTACCAGTAGTATTATGAAATAAAACTCATTGTACTATAAATATGAATCATGTCTAGTGCTTCTTTTATTTGCTTTCAATGTTCAGTGGCAGCATTACAGGGGCACGGGGGTGCAAATTCCCTCTAGAAAATGTGTTACCCCCAGTTTGCTACCCCATCCAGAAGAGTAGAGAAAAACACAATTCGTCGGGGAGAAAGAAAAATGTATTTTCTACATATTAGTAAACTATCTATTTAGAATCCATTGCATAACCCTTTGAAATCCCTCAATTGACATTTTCCGGGGAATCCACGCCCTGGATCACTTTCGAAACATTTTAATTGACACCCGACCAATTAAAATTTACTCTCGTTCATCCCACCCAGATTTCAGATGCTGGCGCCGCCACTGTCAATGTGTCTACTGTGTAAATGTGAGAAAGTAGTTAACTGTTTTCAATCGGCATATGTAAATAAATCTGTTAAGATGTTCCAAACACTGGACCAAGTGCTAAAAATCATTCATTATATTAGAGGTTGACTAAATCTGCGGGGTTCTAGGTAGAAGAATACCCCAAATCCATTTCTCTCAGACCATAGTTACCGCTGCTCCTTGTAGCATGCTTGTAGTTCCTAAGTAGAATCAATGGTATCTGGAGGTGACGGAACTAGAGGGTGCTGCGTTATGGAGAGTAATGTGTGACCGGAGATGGTCTGCAGTCAGTTGGTTGTTACCATGTGTCAGTGATGTTGGAGTACAGCAACATGAAACTATTTATGTAATGCATGAATAAAGTTCTTGGTTTGTCCGGTAGTAATGAAATGATTATTGTACATTTTAAGTGCTCCCGTTACTCCATGCATAAGTGTAAGCTAAATTACGGTGATTAATTATTGAAGATATGGAGACACACGGACTCACGAGCCACGAGGGGATGCAAATACTTTTCGCAATTGAGTATGCCGCGGTACTCATTTTCACAAAGGAATACACGCAGCTGGGAAGCACAAAAATATGCAAATATTACGTAAACACCTGGGAAGGAATGTGCAATATCACGTTCTGTTGCCTAGCATACGTCTGTACTGTAGCGTTGGTTGATGGGGTGGGGGACGGTAAGCATAAATTGGTTAGCCAACAACATGCAAATGTTACATAAAAACCTGGGAAGGATGGTACATCACATTCTGTTGCCTAACGTTCTGATGTACTGTGTGTAGCGGGGGACGGTGAGGCTATATATTAGTAAGACTAGGCCTAAGTAGACAGTGCAATTGTTGTAATAGAAAGTACACTTTCGAAAGAAATAAATTAAAATAAGAAAAAAAAATTAATAAGAATAATTCAGTTGCAGACGTACCTTGTTTAAGTATTATACAATGCTAATAATGCGGCTCTTGTAGCCCTAGCTAGGCAAGGCATCCGTGTGCAAAGCAGTGGTGTTTATCCATGAAAAAGCACGCAAA